TATTTTCTCTCAGTTCAGGGGGCCAGAAGTCTGAATTCAGTGTGTGGCTCTAGAGGGAGGTCTTTCCCTCTCTGTAGTCCCTTGCTATTCCTGGGGTCTGTCTTTCCCTGGTGTATGCCTTTCCCTAGTGTGTGTCTCTGTGTCTATTCTGTTCCTTTTGTAACTCAAAAGTGATTGGCTGTAGGATCCACCCTACAGTTTAAATAAAGTAAAAATAGATACAATTCTGAGACACTAACCCATTACCTTTAAGTTGATTCCAACTCATAGCGACCCTATTCTGAGACACTATCATCTCTATTTCCAAAGTTTTCAACATCTGTTGAATGAGGTAGAGTAAGGATTATAAAGGAAGTGACCTGTAACGACTGACCTGTTAATATTACTATCTATTACACCTCTCCTGGGTACAAGTTTCTTTCCCAAATATTATTTTACAAGTTAGCATTCAGATAAAAATGAATATTGGTTTAAATATGTCTCTATAGTCACAGACTCTGTAATTGGTGAGTTGAGGAGGTTTCAAATTGAAATTACTTTCTACAGGTATTCTTAACTTGAAAAATCCACATTTAATTTGATACCAGCAAATGTGCATGAAAATGACACATTTAACTTTATAAATGGAAATAAACATTGACTTTTATATTTATAGGCTATCCTCATCATAAAAGTAATAAACTTAATGACAAATATCTTTAAAATATCCAGCGCAGATTCTCCTAATCATTGTTTTTGTTATTTATGGATTTACCTCTTGTTTAATTCAGAAAAATGTTTTCTAGCCATCAATTTTCTCATGGCCTCTTTCACCTCCTTGTTCCTCAGACTGTAGACGAGAGGGTTCAACATGGGTATCACCACCGTGTAGATCACAGATGCCACTTTGACCTGATCAGCTGAATAGCTTGACTTGGGCATCATATAAACAAACATAACTGTCCCGTAAAACAAAGTGATTGCAGTGAGGTGGGAAGTGCAGGTAGAGAAGGCTTTGTTCCTCCCCTCAGTAGAGTGCATATTCAGGATTGAGTGGAGGATGTAGATGTAGGACACGATTATGGTAAACAGTGTGCTTACAAGAACTGACCCAGAAGAGATAGCAGGAGATATTTCAGCAATATAAACATGGCCGCAAGAGAGCTTCAAAAGTGGGAAGGGGTCACAGAAAAAATGGTTGATCTTATTTGGTCCACAGAAGGACAAGTTCATTAAACAGCCAGTAAATGATGAAGCGTTCATACATCCACCCAGGTAGGAAGCCCCCAATAATAAGAAGCAGACCACTGGGGACATTTAGGTGGAGTAGAGCAAAGGACAGCATATGGCCACATAGCGATCATAGGCCATAGCAGCCAACAGGAAGCACTCTGTAGTACCAAAAGTGACATCAGAGCCAAGCTGTGCTATACAGCCAGAGACAGGAATAGTAGTTCTCTCCCTTAAGAAAC